CCTCATTCATACCCATTCCCATTGTGCTGGTCCCCTGGAAAGGTTGCACAATACAAAGGCTGTATAAGCCGAGGCTGCGCAGTTGATGTCCTGCACACTGTCCATCTCTATGCAGAAATTTGACTTCAGGATGCCAAATGCATGTTGTATTATGATACGCGCACCATTCAACTTCTTATTGCAGTTTATTTCCTGGCTGTCAGGTGCCCATTATCTCTGTTGTTGTTTGACGTGCGAGCCCTCTGGGACAAGGGATCAGCGATCCTCTTCCAGAGCATGTACAACTGCTGCAAGGCAGAAAGCTCTGGCATCATGCCAGCTGCCAGTGTGCCCCACAGTGAAGTGACAGAACCGCCTCTGGCTGTCACAAAAGCCAGTCAAGGTGACGGAATACAAATTTTTCCTGTTCAGATGAGCAATAGAGTTCTCAAAGTGGGGCCTTGAGCTTGAACTCTACAGCACAGACAGTTCTGGGGACACCAGCTCTTTGAAACCCTAACTTAGATATGTATAGGGCTTCCCCCGCAGGCCAGGTCATGTAATGCACCGTATGGGTGTTGACTAGGGCACAAAACTCATGCAGATTCATCAGTGTAGATTTGTTTATGTTAAACCTAACTGCAACATATTTTGCTTTCCTGTGGACTCCAGTGGACCGGACCAAGAGCGGCTATAACGTCCTGGGTAGTAAAGGCAAGAGAAAAGGTTATTAATAACATGGAAACAATTTTATATTTATGCTACGTAGCCACTGTATGCCATACACACCTCCACTTGTGCTTTAGAAAGCCTGAAATGAGCACTCAGCTCAGACTGTAGGATGACATCCTCCACGAAGCGGAGAATTTTAGGAACAATCCTACAGAAGGGGAAACACAAACTTTGTCCTTACCAGCACATGTTGTACTGGTAATATCAGTTTGAACTGATTGCATGTAGTTTCTCTAATGCCACAACTGCTCTGAACAAATCAAATGTAATGATAAAATGTATACAAAAGGAAGTAGGTCAATCGTAACACAAAAAAAAGTAGGACAAAACAAAATTTCCCGCTCCTGAAAGTAGGTAGGTCAAAACAAAAGGAAGTAGGTGATCATGTGAAAGCATTGGTTACACGTGCTACAAAAAAGGAGAGAGAAAAAAAAAGAGATTAGCCATGTTGTGAAGGTTGCGTCAATGTATGGGAAGTCTGTGTCTGATGTGCTAAAACCAAGAAGGAAGTTGCAAAAAGCAAGAACGGAACATTCCAGGGACCTTAAGGAACACATGCAAAGATATTTCATTTTTATTTTTTTATTTTATTTTATTTATTTTATATAGATATAATATATTTTCTATTATTATTTTTATTTTTATTCTTTCATGAATGTGTTGAGTTCAGCAGTTGCCTCTCACTGCAGGACAGGGAAAGCCTTTTGCTTGTGAATGGAAGTGAAAATTAGAGAATAGTTGAGATATCTATGTGGGTAAACTGTGAATATCAATGTATTAGACCTGATGAAATAAAAAAAAAAAATATTGAAAAAACCCCAAAACTGCTGCATAGGGAAAAAACTGTTCAAGTTTAAAAATAGCACTACAGTTGTAACTTCATGGTTTATTTCAACTGACAAAACATTATTGTTCAGTCATTTTTAGTCTCATTATCGCCATGAAAAGTTTCTCAATGAATAGTTTTCATCACGGTTTTCGTTGATGCACCTGTGGAACATAAACGAAGGCTGCAGGTTTGCATGTGTTAAACACACTGTTATATCTGTGGAATTTTACAAATCACACTAACAATTAATAATAATAATGTAATAACGTTTGGTGATTGACATAAAGACCCATCCACCTCTGATAATGTACACGTTTTGATGTTGTAAAGGTAAGGATATGGTGGGGGTGGGGGTCAGCTCCTATATAAGATGACCCCCACCATGTTCAATGAAATGTTTGTTCTCTGGCTCCTCCTATACAGCTTGTGCGTACATTAATTAAAACGTGACTTTAAAACCTTAAACCTCAGTTGAACCAGGTTTGTAGCAGGTCTAAGTTAAACCTCAGTTACAGTGACCTCTGCTGGAGGTTCAATGATCTCCACTGGATGCAGCAGCTGGTTCAGACTAAACCACTGAAAGACTTTGACCCAGACAGAACAGGTTCAAACCCATCTTAAATCTTAAAGTGCAGCTAAGCTAATGACAGAGCAACAGCCCCTGAGGTCCAATTATACTATTAATAAAAAACATATTCGTCATAAAAATATTAACAAATGCATAAGCAAACAGCGCAGCAGCACCGAACCAAATACATGTGATGTGTTTTGATGGTATGTATGTCAGATAATAACAGAATTACTCAAACACAATGTTGTCCTGGTAATTAAACTAATTAAACTACACTGCAGGAAATGTACTTTGGGAATATTATCACATGACATATTATATATGTTTCATGTAAGGCAGGTCTATTCAACTATGTTGTTCAGGCTGCCACATATCCTGAAAGCAAAGGACCGTAGCTTTTCCCTGAGCTATTCTCATCATGTATGTAGACTTGACCCAACATGCCACTATGTTTTCAGAAGTTTTATTTTGTCACAATGTAAAGGTAACCTAATCACTAACTAAGGAAGAAAATAAATAGGCCTTCTTTAAGTTATCAGACCAAGTGATTAATTAGATTTTCTGTGCAACACAAGCTGTGAGACTTCTACAACACATCATGTCAGCTGTCCGACTGTCTACGTCACAGCATTTAATAAGTGGCAAAAAGAGGCAAACAGCAGAGGAGAGCAAAGAGAACGCAAAAGTTCAAGATGAACTGAACTCGCCTTTGCACTTGATGCAACACAAACACAAATTGTAGTTGAAAGTTTGGAACATTTCAGCAGCAGATACGGCTGTTACTGTGTGGGACCGGTGAAACTGCTTACCAAGATGGCTGCTGCATTATTAGAGCCTCTCTGTGGTTTGGGGGGATTTATTGTAGAATATTTATTTGTTTTTCAACGATTGATCGGTAGGCAGGTCGGACTTGATTGACAGGATGGAGTTTGCCCGCGGGCGGCCAGCTGTATGGGGAAACTGGAATGACGCAGAATGCAAGCTTGAAAAACCACACGTGAGCGCGAAGAAAACGTGACCAATCGTTGACTGATGTTTGTTTTCACATTTTAATTCGGTGTCAGCATCAAGACCTGGATTTGTGCGCGTCTTTGATCCGTATTGTTTTTCATACTACTGCAATAAAAAAAATAAATGAATAAATAAATTCTCTTTTCACTTATGGGATATTGAGTTTCGATTGACGACGGAAAAAATAAATGATTTTAACTTCAGACCGCAACATAAGAAAATGTGAAAAAAGTGGTCTGAATACTTTCTGAGTGCACTGTACATCTTTCACAAAATTTATATTTAAATGATCAAGTCTCACTTATTATTTAGTGACCTATTTTTTATTTTTTATCTTTGATTCAGCTATTACCTGTTTCATTTTGCTAATGAATCCTGGGTCTTTTAGTGATGGACTGATTGATTTATTTCCAAACTCTTGTGTCATCCCCCTTTTCACCAATCAATTGACAGTTTGTAATTTCAAAAAAACCACTTACTTGCTTTTGCTTGAGGTTTCAATCAGTCAACTAGCAAGCACTCAATATAATTCAGGTCATGATGGAACCTCAACAGTTTCGTGCCAATTTAGCAATCTGATGATGAAAACCATGTGAGTTCACAGTCAGAGGAGCATGAGTTGTAATTGTTTTGTCATCTGCTCTATCCAACATCAAAAAAAGAATTCTTAAGCTGAGTTTTATAATTTGATTATTAATTTTTTTTAACAGGTTTCATGTGTGTGTGTTTCCTCTACCTGGCCAGCAGATGTCCTTCCTGATGCCCTTGTCCTGTTTGTTGTCCAGAACAGTACTCACAGACAGACAGAGGGCAGTGAAGCAGATCAGCGATGACTCATTACAACTTTGTGTTGGCTAATGTAATGATGGAAAACCCATGAAGCATATCAATCATAAAATCATTATAATAAATACTGTTTGACTGTTAATGGTGGAGTTTTTGTTGCATGTTTCAACAACCTGAAGAGAGAGGAGCCAAACTGTCAGATAATCACAGTCACAACTTAAATGCTTCAATATACTCATGAGCCCCTGTGAGTTATGTCAAACAAGGACTTAGGACAGAGGACCTGCAGTCACTGGTTATTTTGGAAACAGCTGGAGCCACCACTTTCAAATGGTTGGATGGCTAATTTTAGAAAACGCTCTTCACCTTCACTGAAACGCTTCCGATTTTTTTTTTTCCCCACTTCACTTTATGTTGGTCTAGGTGACATTAATACCTCTTTACTGGAAACCTCTCTTGAATGCACCCTTGATGAAAACACAGGCTACAACACTGAAGGAGGTGGAAGTGATGAGGGTCTTCCCCTGTTTGTGTTTACAGTCAACACGAGACGTTAGCGCATGTGATTTTTACTGTGTACAGTACCAGGTTCCCCCATCTGTGTACATCCAAGCACATACAGGAACGCACTCGTACACTTAGACACTCACAGTGAACCAAACAGTGATGGATAAAACGCTTGAGTCTCTTTTGAGATTGACCATGCATTTCTTATGTTCTTTGAAGTTTTATACACCTCATTGGCTGCGGAATTGAAACCAGTTAAAGAAAACTGAAGGGGTGTGTGTGTGTGTGTGTGTGTGTGTGTGTGTGTGTGTGTGTACAGCTTTTTCTTGCATAAAGTTAGATTTGTGTTCTGTGAGTTTCAGTTCTATGACTCCTGAGGTTGTGTGTATAATAGGGTCATGTGGAGCATATTTTTACCATCAACAGCAGCCCTGATGGTGGTGGAAATTCTTGGCAGCGCAGACGGGCCTCTTGGAAAGGAATGTTGTCTTGCACACATTCGTGGATACACCTACCATTGAGATAAATAGTTAAAGGCCGTTGACTTCCTTGTTTGTTCTGTATATTACCTGTTGTCACTGCAGAGTCACCTGCAGTCTTGCCAGGTGGGAAGACCAGACAAAATACCAGAGATAGTAATACGATAAAGGGTGGATTGGAGGTGAGGTGAGATGAGCAGATGTCTTTGACAAGAGGCGTGATAAGAAAAGAGAAATAACAAAAGAAGACATCAACCTCATCACCTCCCATCATGTCTTTGTCCAAGCCAGAGGAGCTGCTTGCTTACGAGCTGAGTTGTCCCATCTGCCTCCAGCTCTACTCTGATCCGGTGGTTCTTCCCTGTGGCCACAACTACTGTCTAGCCTGCATCTGCAAGACCGCTGTCACCGCCGACCAAGGCGGCACGACGCTTCCACGTTGCCCAGAGTGTCGTGAGGAATATCAGGGTCTGGACTCCCTGAAGAGAAACTTCAAACTCTGCAGCATCATCGAGGGTTACCGAGCCACCGCTGCTCATCTGCGCGGGCAGCCTGACGCCAAGCCTGGGAGGATGGAGGTTTTCTGCGACCAATGTATAGACGAACAGTCGCCGGCTGTGAAGACCTGCCTGAAGTGCGAGGTGTCGCTGTGCTCCAGGCACCTCCAGAGACACCACGAGAAGGAGTCGTTCAAGACGCACGCTGTGGTGGAGCCTCTGAATGAGATGGGAGTGAAGGGCTGCACCGTCCACCAGCGTGTGTTTGAGTACTTTTGCTCCAGTGACATGACCTTGCTGTGCGGCACATGCTTGATAGAAGGCCATCACCAGAACCACGATGTTCTCACCTTCGTCGTAGCCGAAGAAGAGATGAGGCGGGCGCTGGAGAGCCGCAACAAGGTACTTATTGTTTGGTCCCGTTGACATTTACCTGAGCAGTGATATTGTTGTCATGACAACAACATAACAAGGTTTTGCAAACATCTACAAAAAGTGAAATTGGTGCTGAAGTGAAAGACAGGGTAAGATTTTATTTCATGGATCAAAGTTCTGTATAATTTCTGTGGTAGTAATTGTAATTCAATTATAGATAATTACATGAAATAGTCACAATGTGAAAGTTGTACAGGCAAGCACACATTTTGACACACATGGAGAACAACACTAATGAATGAATGTTTACTTGTGTTCAGTCAAACTTTTCTCTCAAGGCAAGTCCTATTTTTGCCTTAAATTACCAATAAATACATTATTCTTCTCAGGAAACGTTTCACTATCATTCTGAAACAATTGACCTGTAAAATGAGCCACTACCAAACAGAGCACTTCAGAGAGTGCAGGTTGTTGAGGCTATGCTTTGTGCCTGTGGGAAACAACAATGATAAAGGTCAAATATTTGAGGCTTGAATAAAGGGACTGGCAGCTTTGTGGCTCGCTGGCATTGTTCTGCAATGCAAAAAACATGTCTGACCGGCAACAGCATGTGTAATGAAGCCAGCAGGGTTGGCGTGAGTTGCCAATTCCAGGCCAGTGATTAAAATATTTTGATGACACCTGTGTTGACGGTCACATGTAATCTTAACATATATCACCTGATATGAAAATATGCTGTTGTTTGTTACAAGACAATCACTTCCAGTTATTCCAGATTTTCCTCCTACAGAGATAAAGACACAGAAGCATTAAATGCACATGTTTGCAGGTGGTTTGCTGCAGGCTGCAGATGACCCAGAGTCTCCTACAGAAGACGGCAGAGGAGCAGGGAGCCTCTGAAACTGTGGGAGACAAACTGATCAACAAGGCTGTCACTCTCATGGACGGTATGGCTGCACTCGTGGACAGGTAACAGACTGCGCGTGTGCTGGTGTTGATCATTCTCGTGGCGTCCTCGAGCGCTTCCACTAACGTATTCAAAGATGCATTTTTAAAAGCTCTGAAAACACACGTTCTCAGTCAGTGTCTGACCTTGTGTTCACATGAGGGGTTTGCCTGTGCAGTTTTTTCTCTGTACTCCTCTCACTGCTTTGAAGTCAGACTGATGACAGCTGTGGGGTTGTTTACTGATGTTTCAGGGCCACTGTTAATCAAATCCAATCAAACCACATCCACACAGTCCTGGTGAAGCAGATTAGCAAATGTTAGAGTGTTAAACTCCTATTGAATAATATGTAAGTTTTTTTTTTTTAAAGTCTTTTTTCAGCTTATTTAGTCATACATCTTCATGTTTTTATATCATGTTTTCAGGGTCTAAATGTATAACTGGAACTTTCATCCCATCACCTAGTTGACTATAGAATCTGAGGATGATTAGAAATAGTGCTATGCACCAGGGTGTATGATGTATAACATCTCCTTCTGTCATGTTTGTATGTAATTTCACATCTCGATAGTATCCTAAAAATAGTAACGCACACTGTGTATTTAAATTAGTAAGATCATACACTATATTAGGTTTTTGACTGACACACTGACTGCTCAATTTACAGTACACTTAGTAGAATTACCGGAAGAACAGGATCGACCAGTGATTGTTGTAAACGCAATCTCTTTGTAAAAGTGGCCACAAGACTGAGAATCAACAGCCAAACCAAGAGCCTTGTGAAGCTGTGTTCAGGGAGAGCTATTATCAACATGCTAACATGCCCAAAATGACAAACACACTGATCTTAAAGTACTTGAGATATCTCGCTCAAACCACAGTTTGTCAGCCTCACGGTGGCGCTAGACAAAGATGGAAGAATAACATGAAAGAACAGGGGAGAAATCTGCTCAGCTACTGAAATTAAACATTGTAAAATATATCTAATCACCCACTTGTCCAAAAAAATCTCCAACCTCCAACCACCTATTGATGTGTTATTATTGTGCTGTGTTCAGGTACAGGGAGCGTCTGATTGTGCTTCTGGAGGAGGAGAGAGGCCAGCGCAGAAAAAGCTGGCAGCTCGGACTGAGCGCACTGGAAGAGCAGCAGCAGCAGTTAATGAAGGTCCAGCAAAGTGCCACAGAGGCACTCAATGAGACTGACACGTGCATCTTCATACACAGGTACAACAGAACCAGACATTCAGTCAGTCAGTCAGTCAGTCAGGGACATTCCAGATTACAGGGCTGGCCCGGCTGTTGCGTTCCAGTCTAAAAATAGAAAAAAATAGAAGTGTTTTATACAGTCTTTAAGCCTATTTAAGTAAAGACATGTGATGCCAAGCATAAGCAGGAACCACATAGCAGCATTGTGTCCCAATGGAATTCCCTCTGCTCTGTAGGTTCATGCAGATTGACCATAAGATGAGAGAAGTTGTCGAAGACACCAGTCCCTCCATGATCCCCTGGAAGGCACCGCTCAACACCAGGCGTGTCCACACAGGCCTCAAAACCCAAGACTTCCGCTCAGAAATGACCTCCTTCCTGGATTCTCTTCACCTCCTCCTCAACCCCCTGGATCTCACCTTCAACATCTGCACCGCCCACCCCAGCTTGATAGTGTCCAATGATCTGCGCACGGTCAAGTATAGCTCCACCAAGCAGGCATATGCGGAGCACCCAGAGCGTTTTACAAGCGCACCTCAGGTTATGTGCAGTCAGGGTTTCTCAAGTGGCGAGCATGTATGGGTGGTAGAGGTGGGGGCCAACAGCATGTGGTCACTGGGCGTTTGTTACAAGACCATCCCTCGCCGTGGCGACCACAGTCGCCTGGGGCACAACTCTGTGTCCTGGCGATTGCAGTGGAAAAACGGCAAGCTGACAGTGTGCCAGTCCTCCTGTAATGTGGCTCTGGGGGACATGACCCATCCTCCGCTGAAGATTGAGGTAGCGCTGGACTATGAGGGGGGGGTGTTAACGTTCCATAGCATCAAAGGGCGTAGGGAGCACCTCCATACCTTCAAGGCTGTGTTTAGGGAGCCGGTTTACCCAGCGTTCAGTATTCATTCAAACAAACCAGAGTCCTGGATCACACTGCACAGTGGGATGTGAACGCAACTGTTTTTGTTTAGTACTTCCCAATAGGGCTGCACAATTAATCAAAATATAATCTAAATCACAATATGGCTAAGTGCAATATCCAAATGGCAGGAGATACAAAAATTCCCAGGAGCTCCAATTGCAAAAAAGCAAAATGTGTCACATTGTTGTGCATTGTGAGCAACATAAGCATTGTGGTGCAACAGAGACGCCCCGGCCTACAAATCATATTCTCCAGATGTTAAAGGAACATGTTTGTTTGGTACAAGACCAAACAAAAATCACATCATCATCATTTTAAAATTTTCTTTTCAGTGAAAATGAAATGCAAAAATCACCATTCCAACTGAAATTGCATATCATCAATCGCATATCACAATCGCAATATCTGCCAAAAATAATTGCAATATTATTTTTTTTGCATATCCTCAAGCCCTACTTCGCAAGCATAGAATTAATTGATGGGTTCCTCTATGTAACTATGATTGGTCTTTGTACTTTACTGGTTTCTTTCAAAAGTCTGCATGGAAATACAGTAAAAAGTACAGATGTTGCACTTTTGTGTCATTGCAGTGGAAATGTGACTTCCCCTTCTCAGATAAAAGCTTGGGAATGTAATTGGCTACCACAAATAAAATCACACAAATCAACCATGCCATGCGCCATCTCATAAAGCCATGCTATTATACAAAGGTGTGTATTTACTGTCTAGCATGACTGCATTAAGGTAATGGATTAATCACATGAGATCATTTATTATTCATGATCAGGGTGATTTTTGTGGAGGATATAGCTCAGAACAGGTGTCCCATAAATTAATGAGCTTTTTGGGAGTTTCTTTAGTCATTCTTCAGTCGTTCTGGCGTGCTATTTGGCATGTTTCAATTCTGTCTATTTAAAGTTAACTAAATGTCTCTTGAATGTTGTGTGTTTTGCCTTTTATTTTCTTTACATACAGTAAACAGTAAAATGTACACAAACTTCACCGTGAACACAGGCTGAATATACGAGACATGTTTGTGTTTATGCTTCAAATAAACTCTGAGGATTATGATGTTTGTGTCTCAAAATGTCTGTGTATCTATAATAATGTGTATATATATATATATATGACAATACGGTGCATGTGGTGTGTGATTGGCTCTTGAAAGTTCATTCATGCAAGGAGATGTAGTGTGTGACACTGGGGTTGCCAGGTTGGGATGTAAATAGGTAACTAACGCTGATTCAGCGGTTTATATTTTACCTAACTGCACGTATAAGACACACGCAGATAAATTGTTTTATGAATAATGTTATTTAAGTTATTTGCTCCATCTTACTAATATACAAATAGCAAACTATGGTCTGGGTTTTACACCTGTCTATGAGAGGGGGGGATGATCTAAAATGAATCTGGCAACCCATATCCCATCTGTCACAAATTCTGTCATTGGGCAGGACACTAACATTATTTGATGTTAGTAGGATTATTCCACATAAGACAATTAGCAACGCCGTCACGGAACACCAGAAGGAATGGGCTCAGGAGAGAGTACGACCAGAAAAGTGTCTTTCGGTGTCGACGACGAGGACAGAGTCAGGATTCTTCGTGGAGTCAAGGTAATGCTAGTTTAGCTAGCGTTTGATAAGCCATGCTAACGTTACTTTAATGTTACGCCTAGCGCTAACTAGCAGTTAGCGTGTTGCTGCACAGGCAAATGAAGTTACCCGTGTGTCATGAGCTGTTGACCTGAGGTAAAGTGAACAACATGTGAAGCGACTGCTGAAGTGAGGAGGATGTGAACGGATGCGGGGTCAGGGGAGGGTTGATGTACGACCTGAAACATACCTCTGTCTCTTTTTTTTTTCGTTACACCAAACATCAGCCGTAATAAGCTGCAGGTAGAAGTGTGCCTTGCTTATCGGCAAAGGAATATATCTGGTAGATGACCGACGTCTTTTTTAGAAACCGTCAAGGTCTTCTGGTAAATTCGGCATAATCATTATCCACATTGCAGTACTGAATTCATTAGCAATCCCATATTTTTCAGTGTTCACTAGCTGCTGTCCAGCGTTTGCTAACAACGTTAGAGATAAGGCGTCCAACTAGCAGCTAAGAAAACCGGGCAATAAAGCTCATTGGTGTCAGGAGAGATTCCCACTGATGTAATTAACGGCCTCAGTTGTTGTTGTATCTATGAGGCTATATATGACCATAACCAAAGTGGCTTTAAATTGGTAAATTTTGAATGAAGTTTGGCTTCCTGCTCTCTGCTTCTTGACCCTGCTGCCTTCCAGTGCTGTTGTATATGTCGGAATTTTGTGCAAGTCATGACCAACCAATTGAATGTTAATGCAACTGTATATGTTGCCAACATACAGAAGTAAAATCTATCCTGAAACATTTTAAATGTAGTTAATAGAGATTTAAAATAAAATCAGCTTCATCCATACACATTGCTTTTAGCAGCTGAGGTATGCTAGTAGTTTGTGTTCGTGTGCATTGAGAAACATCAAATCTTCATGTTTGAGAAGCAAGAAACAACAACAAATTTTTGACCTTTCTGATTTGATCATCAAAATAGTCACTTATTAATTATCTGTAAGTTTACTAGTCAACTAATTGTTGCAGTTCTACATACATCTATACAGTTGTAATAACATCACAATGATTCTCATGCAGATTCTCTTAGCAGAGAGTTTTGTTGCATTAATGCAAATGTGCTCCCTATCTTATACTGCATTAACAAAGTCCAAGACTTCATGTCACCAGATGGAGACTTGATGACAGATGACAGGAAGCAGAAACAACAAGAATGTGTGTAACACAGGAATAACAAAAATGACCCATTTTGAACAGTGCATCGAAACGGCTGCTTTCACAGAATGCATTAACACAACCTTTGACTCACACTGTCAAGACTTAACACTTTTGTAGCTAAAGCCTCACACTTTCTGTATCATGATGGCTTTTTATTTTAACTGACACAAAGCAACAACTTTACCAAGTGGTGCTTTTTTTTTTGCAGTACTTTTCAAATGGTGTTTCACCTTATTGTAGTGATGTAGAAGTGTGTTCAGTGCACCTTGGCCTTCACAGCCTATTGAGTGTGGTTACAGGTAGAGTGTAACTGCTGGGTGTGGTCAGAAGTGTGCTCTAACTGTGCAACACACAGGAAAATTTCAACTAGAAGAGCTCAGTGAAGTAGCAACTATCAGGTTGTTGTTATCTCTAATCTCTAATTATGCCACTTGCATGCATGCACACACATAAGATGTATGAATGTCACTACTGCGACTGTATCCAAAGCATTTCTATTTTCTGAGATGTATGAGAACTTGTTCGATTTAACTTTCAAATTTCTGGTAGTATTTGAAGGCACCTTCAGACCTAGCTGTACATGTGCAAGTGCAAGCTTGTCCAGTATAACAACAACTGGAATATAAAAGATAAACCACAGAAGTGAAGAGTTTATAGGTCAGGAACTCCCCTGCATCACAATGATTGTGAACATGTTTGTATAATTGTGTACAAAAAGCAAAAACAAAGAGCCTCTCAGATAATCACATATACCAGCCCTGCCTGCACATTCAAATCTTGTGAGTCATAGAAACAGTGAGTCAATGGCAGTTGCCGACTTCTGTGGTTTTTGGTGTAACTGTTTTTAACCATTTCCCTGGACACACACACACACACACAGACAGCGATCCAGTGTTTTTGGCATACTCAGCTGGTTCATGTGTTTTTCTTCAGGACAAAGTCACTCTGTTCTTCCCGAAAGGATTAAAAAAGATAAAAGGATGATTTTCATGTGAATGAAAATGACACCAAATAATGTGCATGATTTGCAAGTAGACTGTTGAGTTTGTAGAAACTTGCAGCAAAGCCTATGATTGTTTCTACTGTATAGAAAACAAAACGAGGGGTGAAAAACCTTAATCTCAAATCTGTGTCGATTCTGTGTCTTGAACCTACCCATCTTTGTCCTTTTTAAATTTTTCTCTTTATCCCTCTGTCTAGCTGTCAGAAGATGTTCTCCAGAGGATGAGAGGAGTAGCCAACATTGCTCCAGAACGCACATCATCATCACCCTCAAGCGCTCAGAAAGACACAGGTATCTTACAGCTTACAACCATTGTATCTGGCTGCGTTGCATTCAGGCTCCGTCACAGCTGTCAGATATGATTCGCTGTTATTTGAGCTGGTGTGTGTGTGTCCATCGGCACCGTGTCAAGCATGGTTCTTTCCACCGTTCCCCTATTTTTACACACAGGGTCTATAATCTGGCAGCTTGCACTTCTGGACCATGAGATACGCTGAAATGCACATGTAAATAAATGCCTGTGTTAAATGTCAGTCGTCTTTAATGATAAAAAAAACAAACAAATATTTTACTTAATACATTTACTACTGACACTGTTCACATACATACATAAACATGTTCCTGCTAATGTTAAAACTTCAAAACATATATGATGGTTAGTGGGGTAGTGCGGGAGTTCCCACTATAATCAGTACCAAAAATAATCAGTAATAATAATGATAATCAATAGATATGGAACAGTTAATTAATAAGATCTAATAATGTAAGTGTTAGCTGGAATATAAGATGACAATGATTACAAGATGACCCCGCCCCTTTTTCCAACACCTGTTTCTTAGAAAACGACTTCTTGGAGATAGAAACATTTTCATGACCACCACCTGAGATGCTGCAAGTTTGAGGATAAAATTCCTTTAAAGCCAAATGTAAATCTCACATTGTCTGTCAGCCACATTCTCTCACGCTCTCTTCCCGCCAGGCTGTTGAAGTGGTCAGGATCATTTTTCAGTCTCTTTGAGCTCCTCATTATGATGCCGTGTGACAGCTGTGATTATTAGCATTTTAGCAGATAATCTGGTCGCTGCACAGTTCTCTAGTAAAAACATCAGAGGGGCCTTTCACTCATTTTCACTTATCAGGAATTTATTTACTGTCAGCAACACACACACATGCAGGCCATCATAAGCCACCCACAAGTCAAACTGGGCTAATTAAACATTTTTAGAGCTTATGAACAGACGCACTATAAACACACTGGAGAAATTTACTAGTTCAGCAACATTTGTCTCATCCTCGAATATCAATCAACCCCTAAGATTTTTTTTTATATGTTAATGCAGGTTAAATAATCAGGTACCCATTTTTAGACATTTATTTACACTATGCAATAATTACATCCAATAATAGTAACAGGGTTTATTTCAATAGTAATACTCTAAGTCACATAATAACTTTTCTTCTGCAAGAGTTTTGCCCTTTGATATCTGTGTCTTTGTCCAGGTGCCTCTCGCAGTCCCAGCCCAAGCTCACGACCCCAGCAGAGCTCACAGAACCGGCCCCAGCCCAGCACCCAGTCCAGCACTAGCAAACCAGACTCCCGCACTAAGGAAGAGCAGAGGAGGTGGGTTCAAGAAAACATGTAATTCATGTAATATAGATTCTAATTGGTTGACAAACATTTCCGCTGATTTATGCCTCTATGCCTATATAAACCTTTTATGATAAAACTATCTGCTCTTGAGTGATTGTAAACCACTAATAAGGGTGAGATTCCTTAGAGCAGCACTGTGACTATTTCAGAAATGTGACTTGGCTCATGCTCCCTTTATAACCTTTATATTCAGACACATTGGAGCTGCCTCTGGAATTCACTGACTAAGCAGCTGTGCTGGGAGTATCATGCATGATTACACTGAGTGAAAATACTTTAAAGAAATGAAAGCAAATGGAAAAAATCATCTGGAATAAAATATTAAATGATACCTTGTGTATCACAATCAAAATATCACCAAGCTACTTATTCCATGCAGTGTGTTGTATTACTGCATGTTTCACTTTTACTGGCTCTGTGCAGCCTAAACACATGCACACACACAGGGTTAAAAATGATAAAAAGGATCAGTTTGTTCACTGACAAGTGACATTTGAAAGATGGAGATCAGACCAGAGAACATACAAGTTTTGTGGTATGTGTAACACAGGAACAACAAAAACAACTGTTAAAGAAGAACTGTTAAAAAATTCACTTGATGAAACCTGCAGTTTTCTTGATAATTCCTCCCTGTGGAGAAATAAATAATCTTAGATACTGAATGGATTTGACTGGCCTGAAAATTGGTATATGCTGCCCCCTTGTGGATATACATGCCTAAAACATTTGACCGCAATCAGAAGACATTGACACTTATTGCAATAGGCAATGAATGCAATCGTCATATTTTGTATATACGTTTAATGTGTTTCAGGTACGAACAAAAGCAGAAGATTCACAAAGAGGAGTTGGCCAAGGCAGCACAGAGACAGAGGGAGGCAGCTATGCAGGAGATGACTAAAGCCATGAACCGGGAAAGACAACACACTCGCAAGGAAGCTGAGAAGACCAAACAACTGGTACATACACACACACACACACACACACACACACACACACACACACACACACACACACACACACACACACACACACACACACACACACACACACACACACACAGAGGCTCATGTACGGATTGAAAATATATTATTCTCCTTCCTTAAGCCGAATGCTTCTTTGTTCCTGCCTTGTTTCCTGTTTTCCTGTTTTCCTGTTTCCTGACCCAGTGACGTTAGATCACATTGTTAGTAAACATCACAAAATCACCGAGGTTACACTCAGTTCTATTTGGTTTCATGTTTGTATGATACGACACAGATGAATATACAGGGGATAGTTTTGATAGAAACTTGCACTTACAAACACTTACATTCATTTGTGGAGGCCAGCCAGTGAAACTAATGATGGGAAGTTTTGACTGAGCAGTCATTTAAGTGAGACAGTATTAAACACACTGGCCACTCACAGTGTTGACAACATGCACCATATCTGCAAATCAGAAGCTGATTCAAAATACAACAATATAAAGTGAAGCGAGTGCCTCACTGTCAGTTCTCATTCAGATCACGTCCTCAGCTTCTTTTAATTAGTTGATTGTTCGTAGCCACTTTTGTGAAAAAGGCATCTCTTCTAAATAACATGAAGATGAAGATGTGAACTGGTTAAGGCAATCATCATAATGTATTTGTGTAAGTGTCAAGTCAAAACACACCAACTGCAGGACAGCAACACATCACCCCATGTGTACCTCCTGACCCCCATAGCCCCCCCCCCCCCCCCCAATAGTCATAACAACAATGTGTGCATCACACTGGTGGACCCACGCTGATAGGCACCTATTTACTGTCTGTCCTTTTATTACTCTTAAACAATAGGTGTTTTTCACTAGCTATTTTCTGGGTTTGCACAAATATACACAGAAGTTCGCCACAGTGGAGGACATGGGATGGGATCCATGTGAGGCTTTAAGATGCATGTAGCTCAGTTTTGGAATCAGTTACTTGATATGGAAGATGGAAGGACGACAAGAAATATGTTGATATGGAACAAACGAATTATTGGCTCTTGGTCAAGAGACAAAAGAGTGAATGCACAATGTTCTACAGTTATGAGAACTGAGTGATATATGGACTAAACCAGAACTGCATATAGTTAGGATGATAGAATATGAATATGGTACTGTTGTATATAGGGCTGTACCATATGCAAAAAAAAAAAAAAATCTTATTGCAATTATTTTGATACATTTTGTGATATGAGTCATGACATCAGTTGGAAAGGTCATTTTCGCATGTTGTTTTCGCTGAAAAAAATAAAAATAAAAATGAAGATGATGTCATTTTTGTGGTCTTGTACTAAACAAGCTTTTTCCCCATAGAAGTATATGAAGAAATATGATTTATAGGCTGGAATGTCTCTGTAGCACCACAATGCTTTAAATGTACTATTTAGAATAGAAGAGTATCTGTAAGGAAAACACGTATTGAATCCTCTGGTGCTGAGTGCGCTGTGTATAACCGGCATAATAGACTCTTCTGTGTAGGAAAATATTAAATAACTTATTAAAATGAATAGCAAAAAGTAGCCAGACTTTCTATTGCATAAACAGATTAACAAAATGGAAAAACACAGCGCCGAAAGCACTATAACGTGAACCTCCTCCTCCTTCGCTCTCAGCTGATTAATAATGAGAAACAACAGGTTAACACAATGGAAACTTGCAGTCGTATTTTTCACACCTCCAAATAAAATAGACAGGCCAGGACCTACCTCCGGGGTTAGTCTGGTGCTCTGTCTGTGAACTGTGAGACCCGCGGCGGAGGGATACATGCGTAGATGCACCTGATGTGGATATTTCAACTGTTTAACTGATCGTTTTAATCGGTCAAATTTCTTATTGTCAGTTAAATGCACAGTATGTAACTTCTGCTGCTGGTGGGGTCTCTCATTCAAAACAATAACAAAAGCATTTGGTGAGGAAGTAGCGTGAGATCACGGGAGTTGTCGTCTTCAACACCACTGTAGTCAGCTTCCTCCAGTTTGGATGTGTGTCAGTCATTCAGGAGGTTTTTTTTTTACCAGGAGCTGAGTTATCTACAGAGGTCTCCTCCTCCTCCTCCTCCAAGACGGAGGATCCGGTGATCATAACCAGTAAAAACACTGAATAAAGCAGTTTCATTTTAAAAATGTGTGATTTGCTGACGTTGTTCAGTGGACGCAGGACGACTCGGAGTGGCTGGGAGCTGAGCTTTTCTCTGATAACTTAAGATCCAGTTGTCTGATGGCTAAAATCCTTCATCTGGTTAATACATAGAATTGAAAACAACTAATGTTTTTAAAAAAAAAGTGTATATTGAAATCTTAAATCTAGTTTAAAAAGTCAATTTTCAGGCAACCACAACGACATGCATGTGCAAAGAGGATATGATGTCATTGACAGGTGACAAAATGATAAAGACCATGATGTTGCCATTATTAAAATCACAGACTTCTCTAGGTTTGAAAATTGCTGGAAACATTTGGAATAACTTAAAAAAAAAAAAATCTATAACATAGGTCAAGTGATTTTTTACTGTAGAAAATAAAACTGTTCAAGACATTTTCTAAAGAAAAGTCCCCAGTGGCAGGAGATCAATAGTAATACATTCTTGGGCAGGGCTTTGATGACAGTTGTCCTTCTGGTCTGTGTTTCCTCTGTCTTACTGAAAAGAGGCTATTATGGGAGTCTTTTTACTTTCAACCTTGACCATCATTCACAGTCTACAGAAAACCTATGTGCCATATTTGTCACTCAGATCTGTCCTTCAGTGAATATGGTGGATAATGGGAAAAATCCTCTTCCTGCTGCAACATCGACCAGTGGCCAGTTGGCAGAGCTGTTGTAGCCCGTGTGCGACAAACCAGTGCTTCTGAATTTTGCTCTGACTGAAGACTTTAGGGTTTACATGCAGTGAGTTCAGCGATAAAGCTGTGTAAAAGCGGATTCATTTGAGTAGATAAGTTTGTGCAGGGACAAGTCATGATTCAGTCCAGTGCACTTTTCTCTGGTTAAATCACATGTTGGAGCATTTTGCACAGACACAAATTGGGTCTTTGGGATTGCATTTGTAATTTCCATGGTCATATTCCCTCCTGCCTCCTTCTTCTTTCACCTATTATATCGCTGTTCTTTTTCCACCCCCTCCCCTCTCTTCACCATTTTCACTCTCCCTCTTTTCCTTGCTCTTCTTTCTCTCTTCTCTCTCACCCCCACCCTCTATCTCCCTCTGTTTTTCCTCTCTTTTCTATCCCAGCCCATCACTCTCTCCTTCCTGCCCTGGAGACAGTATTATCAGTGCAGTGCAAGCGGTAAATTGCACCCTGAGAGTTTCCTGGAGCTGGAGATAGGACTGGTGCAGGGTTGGAGGTATAGTCATGGGAAGGGGAGAGCTTGTTTTACACACCAGTTTCATGTGACCCTCCCCCCTCTCCCCCCTCCCTGTGTTGAGACATGCTGTAGCACCTGTCTTATCTCCACTACAACACACTCCCACTCCTAATAGAAAGCCGCTGGAGGGACGTTGTGAGCAGAATGACCAGTGGAGCAGGACTGGACCTCCTTATGCCGAGGGCTCCTTGTAATTACTGTTTCTTGTGCTTTGAATACATATACGCGCCTACGCACGAGTACGGACAGATTTAGTCACAGTCTTAATTCAAATGAGATTTTTCCCAGTTGTCAAATCGGAGGACATGATCACTCATCATCTGCAGCTCTTTTCAGGTGCGACCTCAAACACGTTGACAATGTCATGTTTTATAGCTCTTACGCAAACAGGGTTATGGCCAGTCTATTCAATGCTGGGAAACTGTTCAATTTCAAGTAATTTAAAAACAAAATTAAGTAGAAACAAGTTCTTGAATTTTCTAGCACCCTGTTATGACCGGTTTGTTGTTCATGGGTTGTTTTGCATTTTGTTGCCTTGATTCGTGGTTAATGCATTAAAACTCTCAGTTTTAATCTAGTCACTAAAATCAAGTGTCAGCTAAGAAATAATATAGATAATTTTGACAATATTACCTTGATATCATGAGCATATTTACTGCATTGTTGCCCAACGTCTTTTTTTTTATTGACATTTTGTCGATTTTTGTCTTTCTCTTCCATTCAGGAATCACAGGAGACGGATTTTTAAAAGAATAATTACTGAGATATTTTGACTTTTAGACTAGTTTAGTTTAGTTTAGTTTAGTTTAGTCTAGTTTGTTTTGGTTTAGTTTATTTATTTAACAGGGATGATGAAATCTGTCATAGTTCCAATACAAGGCATGAAACTGATGTGTTGCACAGAGAGTTCAAAGCTATTGCTAATTTTCAACTCTTATCCCTAGTTGGGCTTTTACATGTACAGTTTAATTAAAATAGTTAATGGACTTCCAGCCATCAGGGGCAAGGTGGGATTCAGTGTCTTGGCCAAGGACACTTGGACACACAGTCTGGAGGAGCCGGGGATCGAACCACCGACCTTCTGATTAGTGGACGACCCGCTCTACCTCCTGGGCCTGTGCTGTGCAGTCTGAAAAGAGACAACAGCAGCAGAAACAAAACAGACAATCAGACAAAACAACTGATAATATCATACATTTAGCTAGATTAGCTGCTAAATAGATAGCGGTCAGATGTACAGTCCAAAAGGAGACAAGACCGCAAAACAAGCAGATAAACAGTCAACAAAAACAATTAATGTACTAAGTTAAGCCCTGTATGGGTTAAGCTCCGAAAAATGCTTTCCCATAATGCATTATTCCCATGTTATTATTACTGTTTAGTTTAGCTTAGTGTATTTATTTGCACAGAGGTTACACTAAGATATCACACGGAAAAAAAGATAATTGCGCAGGAGAGGAAGGAAGTCCAGAGGGCTTATACAAAGTCCTCCCCTAATTTCAGCAAGTCATTAAAAACATACAACATAAAACAATACGATTACTGGAGTGTTAAATCCCATTATTACCTTAATACAAGTACGTTCTAATG